GATTCATCCTGGAGAGGATTAAATCAAGCAACTCATTGGAGGCAAGGATTCTGAGGCTCCGTCTGACATACTTTGGGCCTGTTGCAAGGAGGAACAGGTCCTTGGAGAGGGACATCATGCTTGGGAGGGTGGAGGGATGGCGCAAGAGGGGAAGACCCTCTATGAGATGAATCGATTCAGTGACTGGGGTAATCGGGATGGGTGTGTCACAGGCAGTGCGATTGGCACAGGACAGAGCAGGGTTTAGGGCTGTTGTACATAGGGTCGCTATGAGTTGCAAACGACTCGACGGCACATAACAACAACAACAGGTTGAACATTGGTGGCCTAGTGATAAGAAGCTGGACTGCGATCCCAAAGGAATGTTAGGGACCAGTTGGTCCCACTGGCCATTCTCTGGTTTCCTTGGCTACAGTTCTGTGACTGGCTGTTCAGATCTCCCTACAAGGTCTGGGGCACGTCAGCCCTATTTGTGCTGTGTCGTCGTGCCTCACCCCATGCTTTTCACACACCTGTGTTCAGTCAGTTGTTGCATGAGTTAAAGATCGGGTAGAAAAAGCACCTTCTTATGCTGGGAACCCATCCTTCTAGATCCAGCTCAGGTTGGACCCCTCTGAGTGCCCACATAGATCACGAGGTCACCCCAATGTATGTTGAGGCTCACAACAAACGAGTCTGGGTTCAGTGAATGGTCTGGCTTCCGTGACCCAGACCTCACCCCCAGGTCAGAGCTTGGTTGGAAGGTGGCTTCAATGGTTTCTTAGCTCTGCTCCCATTTCTGGACCTTGTCTTCTCGGGGTTTCAGCCCTCCTCTTGAGCCCTTGGTCAGTTTGTTTCTTGATACATGAGCTTCAAGCTGCCAAGAGTGAGGTAGTGGTGAAAGTAAACTTCCCTCTCTGTGAGGAGTCAGCCCAGCCCAGCCCGGTGGCGCATTAAAGGTCCCAGGGTTGGACATTAAAGTGGGTAAGAGGGAGCGTGGAGATTTTGGGAGACGGACTGGGGTGCTGGGGCCCTCAAGAGACTTCTCCACTGGCACACACAACACAGTAGGAATGGGGCACAGAGAGAGCAAGGTGACAGTGGTGAAGGACATGGGGGATCCTTTCCACCTGCCAGGTTCCTACGCCCCACCAACTGCGGCCCGGAGTGTGGCTTCACAGGAGTGGCAGCCTAGCCGCGTGAGGAGCAGCCCCCCACCCATGGAGCCCCGCAGGAGGAGCTACACCCCGGCCCCTGCGGATGAGAATTTCCCTGAGGAGGAGGAAGAGGAGGATGAGTGGGAGCCACCGACCAGGTCTGTGGTGAGAAGGCCATGAGGGAGGGGGCAGTCATGGTTGCGTGGGTGGATGGGTGATGTGTCCCTGAGTGAGGCGCCTGAGGGAGGGCCTCTCAGAAGAGGTAGCACCATCTCTGCCAAGGCCGTGTGGGAAGAGGGCAGGCCTGTCGGGGCCACAGCAGCCTGAGGTGAAGTGGTGGGCAAGCAACCCAGCCCGAATCTCAGTCTCTTGCTCTTAGAAGATTCAGTTGCAGACTCAGTTCAAGCCCATGTGGCCAGTTGGGTGCCTTGCAAGGGCTTGTACCCTAAACATCTTGGGTTGAAAGCACAGTTGTTTTCTGGATCTTGGCTCAGTCTCTCGTGGGGGACTCCGGAGGAGGAGGCCCTGCTGGGCAGGGACCACCCCTTGCCATCTCTGACATTCCCCCTGCCCTTAGAATGTCCTTCCTTCACTCCTGGCCGGTTCCTACTCATCTCTCAAAAGGCAGCTCTGATTCCCCTGAGGTGGCTTTATTCTAGGCTAAGGGGCTTCTTCAGATTTTTCAGGCTGGAGGAGTTCTTCCTTCCCTCCCTTAGTACCACAGATACGCGTGTGAGCCTCTGAGTGACACTGGACATTCTTGTCTCTGGTTAATTACCTGGACGTGATCTCTCATATGTAACACTCTGGCTCAGTGTCTGATGCCCATAAGGTTCTCGTTCACCTTCTGAAAGGCTCAGCAACGTCTGCAGAACGGGGGGCCACATCCCTGGGTCCAGGAGGCAGCAGCCTGGCCCAGGGAATGCTGGAGAATTGATGCAAGCAGGGAATGCTTCAGTTGTCTCTTCTATAAAACCAGAAGGGAAGGAGGCACGTATTCAGCATCCTCTTCCCTGAGGCTAACCGTAACAGCTCTGCCTTTATAAAAGAAAATATGCACTGCCAGCCACAGCATGCTTTGTCAATGTCAGGAACCTCCGAGATGGCAGATTCGAGTGTGAAAATGCCCACTGTTACCATTCTGATGAGACCTGATTTTTGACCCAATAGTGAGGTTAGATGACAAGATAGAAGGCTGTGGATGGTCGTGTCCCCTCCCCAACACAAATATTCCATCCTCTCCATCCATCTGTGTCCTTCTGGCTCCAGCTCTGTTCCTGTCCTTGTCCCACGGTGCTGTGTGTGTGTGTCTGGGTGGGCCTGAGTCTGTCCTCTGGGATCACACTGTGGATTTCCTCTCTGTCTTTCTGTTGTCTCTCCGTCCGTCTCTCTTCCCAGGCATCCTGTGTCTCAGCTCTCCACCCCGTCTCATCTGCCCCTGTTCTAACTGGCCACCGACAGTCCTGGTCGCCCCTAACTGCGTCTTCCCCTCATTCCGTGTCACCAACCACTGCCCTGGGGCCCCTGCACTGCCACCGAGGATGCCCGCCCGCCCGCCCGCCTGCCTGTCCGCCTACCCTCTGGCCCCTCGAGCCCAACGCCAGGCCTTAGGGCCCTGAAGAGTCCTCGGGTCTCAGCCCGCCCACCTGCCTGCCCGACCTCCAGGAGTGACCCTCTTTGGTTCCTACATTACAGCCCAGTTCCTGGCCCGGCTGGTGAGGAGGGCTTCTGGCGAATGTTTGGGGAAGCTCTTGAAGACCTGGAGTCATGTGGTCAGTCAGAGCTGTTGAGGGAACTGGAGGTATGGCCACTCACCTGATGGGCCGGGGGAGACACACGCATCTGGGCACGAGGGAACGGGTGCTAGGCAAGCGTGTTGGTGGGGGTTCGCACGTGTGTGTGATGTCTGTTAGGTGTGTGCTTGCGTGGCCTCATCGGTGTCAATGTGTCTTCACACATGGGGTTATGCATGGATGTCTACAAATGTGATTGAAGGTATCGTGGCAGCACGCTGGGGCGTGTGACATGTGAACACATATGACATTCAGTGTGCCCTGGTAGCATGCACATATGCACGTGTGTGAGCATGTTCATGCATGCACAGACTGAAGGTGTATTTTCCAAATGTGTGTGTCTGCACAGGAGTTTGGACGTCTGTGTGCAATGGAGATGCATTTGTGGTGTGTGCTGTGGAAGCCTGTGGGTGTATCATTAATCCATTGAGAGAAGGGGAACAGGGGACCCACAGGGCATGCAGCTAATCCTGGGTCATTCTTGCAGTCTCTGCTGTAGGTAAGCCCATTGTTATGGTCATGGTATTAACCCATCTCCTTGAGGGTGTTCCTCTTCTTCCCTGACCCTCTATCTTTCTAAACATGATGGCCTTTTCCGGGAACTGATCCCTCTTGATAATATACTCCAAGTATGTGAGACACAGTTTCACTGTACTGGCTGCTACGGTGTCATCTAAGTGCATTTCCGCGAGGAGAGTGCTTCTGGCAATCTGTGTCGTGTTCAGTACTCTGCCAGCACCACAGTTCAACAGCATCGATTTTTCTTTGATCTTCCTTATTCATAGTCCAGTTTTCACATGCATAAGAATTTGTCCTTCTGTTTTATTTGTGCCTCTGTTTCCTTTTTAATGTTGCTGATTAAGACGTTTATTCTTCGTTAGTTTTTCCAGTTGCTAGGGAGTTCTGGTGGCCTAGTGACAAGAAGCTGTACTGCAATCCCAAAGGCAGGCAGTTCAAATCTACCAGCTGCTCTGCGGGAGAAGGGTGGGCAGTCTTCTCCTATGCAATTAACTGCCTCTGAAAACCTGCTAGAGGGTCAGCTATGGGTCGGTTCTGACTAGACAGTGCACAACAACAACAACAACAAGCTATTCAAAGAACCATCTATTGGTTTTGTTAATTCTCTTTCCTGCTTGATCTTTTTCTATCTTGACTCATTTCTCTGTTAAGCTTAAATATTTTTCTTCTACTTTATTTATATGTAAAGGATTTTCCCCCCTTTTTTAGACCCTTAATTTTCTTGTGTCCTAATCAGTTGTTGTTAAGTGCTGTTAATTCGTAGTATCCCTGTGAACAACAGGTCTGAACCTTGCTCTATCCTGCATCATTCTTAACATTCAAGCCCTTTGCTGGTGGTACTGTGTCAGTCCCTCTTCTGAAGAGTCTTCCTCTCTTTCTCTGTGACCTTTGACTTTGCCCAGCATGATGTGTTTTTCCAAGGACTAGCCTCTTCTGACAACATGAAGAGTCACTGTCCTTGCCTCAAAGGACACTTTGATTGTATTTCCTCCAAAACAGATTTGCTTGTTCTTATAGCAGTCCATGTTGTTGTTGTTGTTAAGTGCCATCGAGTCGTAGGCGACTCATAGCGACCTTGTGAACGAAAGTCCTTGACACTTGCGTGACTTTCATCCTTTCTCCCGGTTCGTAGGGTTTCCCGAGGAAAGCTATTACGGAAGTGGATGCCCTTCTGCTTCCAAGCTTGTTTTAGCCGGGAGTGCCACCAAACACTGTCCACCATGGGTAACAGTTATCCATCCCATTTGACATGTCAGTGTCACAGTGTTCAGCTTCACAGGGACCACAAATTACCTCTGTCCGGCAAGTGGAAACACCAAGGCTATATGATGTAGAAGAATGTTTCACCAAAAATAATTTCAAGACGAGGGCCCTACAGGATTTTAATCTACGGCCTGGAGCAAGCTCTGCAGGCTCCACTCTTACTTCCCCCTTTTTTAAGGCCATGGGCCGCCCACCCACTTTTGAAGGGTAAAAAAGAGCATTCCCACATAGCAAAAAGGACCCCAGAAACTTCCCTTGCCTTGACTGCCACCAAAGTCGAGCCGCCATAGAGATGCCAGCCATCCCGCCAGTCAGCCAGCCAACTTCCAGGGTGGAGAGAGACTCCCATAGCAGTCCATAGTATAGTCAATATTCCTTGCTAATATCACCATTCAAAAGTAGAAATTCTTCTAGGGTCTTTATTCATTGTCCAATTTTCACAGACATAGAAAGCAGTTGTTGCTAGGTGCAATCAAATTGTCTACAACTCCTAGCAACCTTGTGGACAACCGTGCCCTATCCTGCATCAACCTTACGATCTCTGATATGCTCAAGCACATTGTCTCAGTCACTATGCCATTCTTATCTTGTTGAGAGTCTCCTCTCTTTTGCTGATGCACCACCCTTCCAGGTATGATCTCTTTTTCCAATTATTGGCCCCTTCTGACAACATGCCCAAAGTATGTTTCACCATCCTTCCTTGTAAGGAGCACTCTGATTGCACTTCAAGTAAGAGTGTCTTGTTTATTCTTTTGGCAGTCCACGGAATATTCAGTAGTCATCTCCCACACCACAGCTCAAAGGCATTGATTCCTATTCTGTCATTCTTAGTCATTCTCCAACTTTCAGATGCGTAACTAGTAATCGAAAAGACAGTGTCTTGGGTCAGGTGCACCTTAGTCTCTGGACTGACATCCTGACTCTTCAGCATTTTGAAGAGGTCCTTAATGGAAGGTTTTCTCAATACAAAAGGTCGTTTGATTTCTTGATTGCTGTTACTCCAAATTTTGATTATGAATTGAAGTAAAATGAAATCGTTGACAATTTCAGTGTTTTCTCCATCATGATGTTGTCTGTTGATTCAGTGGTGCGGATTTTTGTTTTCTTGATGTAGAGATGTAATCCACATTGAAGGCTATAATCTCTGATCTTCTGCAATGTTTCAAGTCATCTTCACTTTCGGGAAACAAGATTGTTTTGTTGTTCTTGTAATGTGCTGTCGACTCAACTATGCACTATAGTTCTGAACCCTGCCCTATCCTGAGTCAATCTCATCATCTCCAATATACCTAATCCCATTACCCCAGACACTGAGTCAATCCATTTTATCTAGGGTCTTCCTCTCCTGCACTGTCCCTCTACCCTTCTAAGCAAGATATCTTCCCTTCTCCAAGGACTGGGGCCTCCTGGCTCATGCCCAAAGTATGTGAGATAGAGCTTCAAAATCTTTGCCTCCAAGGAGCACCTTGGTTCACTCTCTCCAGAACAGACCAATTCGTTCTCTTGGCAGTCCATGGTATGTTCAACACTCTTCTCCAGCACACATCTCGAAGGTATCTATTCTTCTTCTGTCATCCTTAGTTATTATTCAGCTCTCTGATGTATAGCAAGTAATTGCAAAGACCATGGCCTGGATCAGGTGCACCTTAGTCACCAGACTGACATCATTGCTCTTCAGTACTCTAGAGAGGTCCTTGACAGCAATTTTTCCCCAATGCAGTTCATCTTTTGATTTCCTGATTGCTGGTGTCAAGAGTGTTAATTGTGGAATCATGCTGTAATTTTTAACAATCTCAATCTCTTCTCCATCAATCAAGATGGCCCAGTGGTGAGAATCTTTGTTTTCTTGATGTTGAGCTTCAATCTATATTGAAGGCAGCAATCCTTGACTTTCTGCGGCAAATGCCTCAGGTCCTCCTTAGTTTCCGCAAGCAGGGTTGTGTCATCTGCATCATGCAGGTTATTGATGAGTCTTCCTCCAATCCTGATGCTGTGTTCTTACTCATAAAGTATAGCCTCCAGGATGATCTGTTCAGCATACAGATTGAAAAGTATGGATACAGGATGCATCCCTGATGCATACCTTTCCTGATCCTGAACCATGCAGTATTGTTTTACTCTGTTCTGACTACTTTTTCTTCGTCCAAGTATAGGTTTCTAATGAGAACAATCAACTGTTCTGGGATTCCCATCCTTCTCAAGGTTAGTCACAGTTTGTTGTGATCCACATAGAAAAATGCATTTGCGTAGTCAATGAAACACAGATAGACATTCCTTTGGTACTCTCTGATTTCAGCTAAGATCTATCAAATATTGGCTGTAATGTCCCTAGGGCAACAGCCTCTTCCAAACCCAGCTTGCATATCTGGTAGTTCTCTGCTGATATACTGGTCCAATAATTTTTGGATAATTTTCAACAGAATCTTTCTTGCATGTAGTATCAGTGATATTGTTCAATAATTTGCACACTCTGTCAGGTTACCTCTTTTTGGAATGGGAATAAATATCGATCTCTTCCAAAACAGATTTGTTTATTCTTTTTAAGTTCTTGTGATATTCAGTACTCTTCACTGACACCACAATTCAAAAGCATCAATTTTTCTTCAGTCTTCTTTATTCATTCCTTGTCCAACTTTTAGATGCAAAGGAAGTAAGTAAAAATACTATGACTTGAGTGAGACACACTTTCGTCTTTAAGGAGTCATCCTTGTACTTTAGCTCTTTAAAGAAGACCTTGAAAGCGATTTGCCCACTGAAAAAAGTCATTTGATTTCTTGACTGCTGCTATTGATTGTGGATTCAAGTAAAATGAAATCAGTGACAAATTCAGTCTTTTCTCCATCTATCGTGATGTTGCCTGTTGATCCAGTGGTGAGGATCCCCACCCCCTTGATATTGAAGGATTCACAGTGAATCTCTAGTCTTTGATTTTCTTCAGAAAATGCTGTAAAAATGCTATAAAAAAGTGCTGTAAGACTTTTTTACTTCACACAAACATAATTATATCATCTGCAAGTCTTCCTCCAATCTTGGTGCCATATAGTCCAGTTTCTCAGATGTTTGTTCAGCATACAGATAAATATTTACAATCCTGGGTAAAAGTATACAACCCTGATGCATAATTTTCCTTATTGTAAGCCATATAGTTTTTTTTTTTCTTGTTCTGTTCTGACAGCTACCTCTTGGTCTATATAAAGATTTCACAAGAGTACAATTAAGTGTTCTG